AAAGGGAGTTCTCAAGGTAGTGATGAGTCACAAAAGAAAGGGGACAACTCCAGCGTAATAACAAAGCAGCCCATACCCAAAGACGTATATCGAACGTAAACCGAAATCCCTAACTCCCAAGTGCGTGCAACGGGAAGGAACAGCCCGTTATGAAATCCCCGACAACAGAACCATCCCACCCTTTCTAGCCAGGAGACCTGGGAAAAATTGCAATAATGCGCGCCTCGAACCACAGTAAAACCACATGATCAAGTCTCCTCTTCACCAGTGCTACCATCGCGAGGAATATACTTCACACCCGAATCCTCCAAGCTCGAAATGATCTCATCAGGGAGCTGCAAAGTAAACAAACCACCACATCAGTCTCAGATCTGGTAAAAAAAAGAAAAGAAAAAGAAAAGAAAAGAAAGAAGAAAAAAGAAATAGCGTAGAGGACATAACCCAATCAGAACATACCGATCCAGTCACCTTGACGGCATATGTTCCCGGCACGTAACTATCGAGTCGCTGCCAGCGAGCCACCCAGCTAGTGTTGGGGTCACGGAGGGTGACCAATCCTTCAAAGACTTGGGAAGTACATTCTTGGATGGCGTCGTTGTTGCCACGGAGGCCGAGGACGTTATCGCAGTTGGGACAGCCTTCGCGCATGAATTTCTATTGTGAAGAATGTGTCAGTTTATCGCGGGCGGGCCTTTCTGTTTCGTTATGCAGTCTTGGTCCTGATTTGAACGTACGCTGTGCAGTTGGACGAGGGAGCAGACCATGCAGGCGCGAAGAGTGCGCTGCTGGCTGGGTGCGACGTAGAAGGACATGTGCTGTGTGCTGTTTGAGATGGGTGGGATTTCGATGCAGTGGAAATTATTAAATTGCAACGACGGACCTCGTTACTGAGAGGATTTCGGAGAGGGGCGCGAGGTGATAGAATCGAGGTGGCTTTTGGGGGCGGAGAAATGTAGAGAGAAACAGAGAGGTTGTTGGAGTTGATTGATTTGATCGATTGATTTGATGTCGGAACAGAAATGCCAAGCCCGGCGACTGGAGGATCTTCGGGATTGAATTCCAAAAAAGTAATCCAGCCAGTGATAAGAAAATAGATTCAAGGGTCCGAATTCCTGCAGAAATTCCGCATTCCTCCCTCAGGAACATTAATCCATTCGATTTGAATCTGTCTCCTTCCGTCGGAAGCTTCTTCACCCCCTAAGCTAGTGAAGGAGTCAACCTTAGGGTTCCCTTCTCGTGGACGATCAACCGTTGTCCCTCCTGCAAACGCTCTCGTGCCTTCCTGCCAGAAAACCCCTCTCCCCTCTCTTCTCTTCCGTTCTCCGATGGCGTCGTCCGACCTCGAGGCTGCCACTGCGCTAAAGGTGCAGGGCAATAAAGCGTTCGGTCAGCATGAGTGGCCTACTGCCGTGGATTTCTACACCCAGGCCATAGAGAAATATGATCGCGAGCCGTCGTTCTTCAGCAATCGCGCTCAGGTACGTTGCGCTTTGGGCACCTTTTTTTTTTTTTTTTTTTACTACCAACTGCTCTTCTTTTGGCCCCGAAGGCGAAGGGGCAACAGAGGGATAGAGCGACAGCTTGCTAACTGCCCTAGGCGCATATCAAACTCGAAGCTTATGGCTTTGCGATTGCCGACGCCACCAAGGCTCTTGAGCTCGACCCCGCCTACACCAAGGTCAGTACTATACGCCCTTAAGATGATGTTTTCTTTATTCTTTCCTTTCCCTCGCTGAAAATACTGCACTGCTGAATATATATGCCCAACCTCAAAGACGAAATGTGTTATCAACCGACTAACTTGATCTAGGCATACTGGAGGCGAGCCCTAGCCAACACCGCTATCCTCAACTACAAAGATGCCCTGAGAGACTTCAAAGTTGTTGCGAAGAGGGAGCCCAATAACCGTGATGCGAAGGTAAAACTGGCAGACTGTGAGAAGCTTGTGCGTCGAATGGAGTTTGAGAAGGCCATTGAAGTGGGTGACCCGCCATCGGCCTTCGAGGACCTGGACATCGACGCCATTGCGGTCGACGACAGCTATGATGGTGTGCGATTGGAGAAGGAAATGACGCAAGAGTTCATCGACGATATGATTGAGCGGTTCAAGAATGGCAAGAAAATCCATCGCAAGTATGCCTTCCAGATCGTCAAGGCTGTCAAGGATATTGTGTATGCGGAACCAACGATGGTCGAGATTGGTGTGGACCAGGGTACTAAGTTGACGGTTTGCGGTGATACGCATGGTATGTTTTATTCGCGCTTCGCTCCTTTCTCTTCAACCCGGTTCTCCCCTTTGGCTAGTGGTCACTGACACGTTGCGACAGGACAATTCTTCGATCTGCTGGAGATCTTCCGGTTGAACGGATACCCTACCGAAAAGCACGCATACCTTTTCAATGGTGACTTTGTGGATCGCGGCTCTTGGTCTACTGAGATCGCCTTACTTCTCTATGCATACAAGTGGCTCCGACCGAATGGCATCTTCCTCAACCGTGGAAACCACGAGACGGACGATATGAACAAGGTTTACGGATTCGAGGGAGAGTGCAAGGCGAAGTACAACGAGAGGCTGTTCAAGGTGTTCTCGGAGTCCTTCTCTGCCCTGCCGTTGGCTACATTAATCGGCGACAAGTATCTTGTTCTCCACGGTGGTCTCTTCTCTGACGACAATACATCCTTGGATGACATCCGGAAACTGAACCGCCACAACCAGCGCCAGCCCGGACAGCAAGGTCTGATGATGGAGATGCTCTGGACCGATCCCCAGACGGAGCCTGGTCGCGGACCGAGCAAGCGAGGAGTTGGTCTCCAGTTTGGTCCGGATGTTACCAAGAGATTTTGTGAGAAGAACGGACTTGAAGCCATCATTCGCTCTCATGAAGTCCGTATGGAGGGATACGAAGTCGAGCATGATGGACGGTGCATCACCGTCTTCTCTGCTCCCAAGTACTGCGACACCACGGAGAACAAGGGAGCCTTCATCAACGTTGGGCCAGAGCTTAAGCTGGACTTCCAAGTTTTTGAAGCTGTGCCTCACCCTGATATCAAGCCTATGGTAAGTTTTATCCTTCTTCTTTTTAGTATACTCGTTACTCTGTTTTCCTTAAAGCATTGCAGAAGACTGATGTGTTCCTGTCTAGGCTTATGCACAAAACTCGATCATGTCCATGATGTGAGATGATTTACCTCTCTGCATGGGACGGCGTTTATGGGTGGACAGAGAAGAGTGGTCTTCTCGACCGGTCATAGAGGTTCGGTTCTAGAATGAGCGTTGGGGCTCTTTGGTTATACCTGCAGACTGAAATAACGACAGATATCTCTCAGATACCGAATACTGTATCTATTGAATGATGATTTGAACTTCTTGCATAGCGGAACAATGATTTGTGAACGAATATCCATGTGCAGGTATGAGGACGTTGGATTGGGCAGTAAGATGATTTGGCTTTTCTTCCATCTCCGTTGATATGAATGTGGTGGCTAGTTAGCGACTTTGATTGCATTATCCAATGGCATAGACTATAAGGGCTTCTCGTCGGAGTTGTTGTTTTCGGAATTGCATTATCCGACCGCTTTGCTGGTAGACCCCGCGATTGACTTTATCCGTTATTCTTTTGCTTCCCCGCCTTGTTTCTGTCCCTCTCTGCTCAATCTCAATTTTTCTCTCCCCTCATCATCTTATTTAACAGAACAGTGTGATAGTACTGTTCAACACTCAGGATAAGATGGAGTTCGATCCCAAGACCCGTATGTGTCTTCATTGCCAGAAAATACGACAACTCAACGACTAAAACTAACCCCACCTCTCTGCCGGTCTTGGTTAACAGCGCAATACCTTACTTCCGACAAATCTAGCTTCGCCTTGACCTCCGCTCATGAACGCTGGCCCGTAATTATCGTGAGTGGTTTGGTCACTTAGGCTTTAGTTTACCTGATTCCTGCTAATCATCTATGTCACTATAGACTAGCGCTATTGATGACCTCCACCGCACTGTTGGTGATGTAACGGACGAGGAGAAGCGCAAGGAAGGAAAGGGTATCATTGAGAAACTTGCTGCGCTCAAATATGAATTGCAACATAACAGACAATTGACGTGAGTGATTTACGCCGCTAACTTTACGCAGGTTATGTCGAGGAAGTCGCTAACTTTTGCACGCCCGCATAGTCCCCTCCCCGACGACGGCCAGCCGGGTATCGAAGAATATAACAAGGAGTTGGAGCAACGAGGAAACCCCAGATGGCATGATGTTGCATGGCTGTACTCCGAATGCTACCTCTGTATGTCCAACGTGCTCGGAGCAATACAGATGGCGAATAGATGTGTTAACGGAGAACAGACAGGCGCATCAGTGCCTACTTCGCCTTGTCCACACACTGGAAAGGATACGATGTATTTGCCCGCCAGAAGATGTCTACTTTCAAATCGTCCCGTCCGGCAGTTCTGGAATTGGCCGCGAGATACAAGGAAATCGCTCAGGAGGCGGAGAAGGGCCAGGCTGACGGAAAGACCCCGGAGCAGGTCGAACAGGCTGAGCGCATACTGTTCTCCGAGATGTGTGAGATCTGTCTGTGGGGCAATGCCACCGATCTGTCCCTCTTGACCTCTCTTACCTACGAGGACATCCAGAAACTGCAGGGTTCGCAGGCGCGCAAAGCGGCAGAGAAGAACATCCTCGTCAACGATTTGGACGCCGCCTTTGAGGTGCTCAATAAGGCCCGCAAGGAAAAGAAGACCGGGGAGCGTCGCGTAGACATTGTTCTCGATAATTCCGGTTTCGAACTGTTCGTCGACCTTATCCTTGCCGGATACCTTCTCTCTGCCGGCCTTGCTACGACAGTTGTACTGCACCCTAAACTGATCCCCTGGTTCGTGTCGGATGTTACGCCCCCAGACTTCAGGGACCTTATCACCGCGCTCGCCGACCCGCAATCATTCTACACTGCCGCCGATGAGTCGGGCAAGGAACACTCCCCCCTCTCGGATAAGGAGCTGTCAGAGGTCAACTTCCTCTTCGAGCAATGGTCCGGGCTCCACGCAGATGGCAAGCTGGTCATTCGCCCACATGCCTTCTGGACCTCCCCGGGAGGCTATTGGCGCATGCCCAACACAGCAAAGGATCTCTTCGAAGACCTGCAACAGAGCGAGCTCGTCCTCTTCAAGGGTGACCTCAACTACCGCAAGCTAACCAGTGATGTAAGTGATCCCTCATTCTTCCCTAAACTCCCGCAAACATTAACATGTTGTTTCCCAGGCTGCCTGGGACCCCACGACCCCCTTCACGACCGCTATCGGACCAATGGGCCCCAAGTCTGGCATCCGTGTTCTCGCCTTCCGGACCTGCAAAGCCGATGTCGTTGTCGGACTGCCAGCAGGCGAAGACGAAAGACTCCGTCAGCTACCTAATGGCGGGGGCTCCGAGGCCCGGAAATGGGCCTGGAGTGGAAAGTGGGCTGTTGTGTCCTTCTCTGATGGGAAGGCTTAAACTAATTACTTGTCTGTGATATGCAGAGACGGGGTTCAGATTGTCGAAGCACCGGATGTATAGATGGACATATAGATACGAACAGAATATACAGATAGATGATGTCATCATTGAAATGAGATATCGAGTTAATGTGTATTGATGGACTCTGCAGTCGGGTAATTAGCGTACTTCAACAAGTCTTAGGACTCGTGGGTTAAGTTAAGTGAATGATAAGGACAAAGTAGAACAGAACAGGGGTAGCATGTTCAATGTAGGGTATATTCCAGACATAGACAGGTGCTGGGCCTGTCACTTGCATGACGTATCGGACAAGAACAAAAGGGAAAGCGATTATTCCCCAATGGGCGTAGGAAAAAAGAACCGTAGAGAAACAGGAGAATGGATACATCAGATTCCAAAAAAACGAGAGCGCCTATACCCACAATAGCTCCCCCCTCCCGCGCGCCAGGAAAACCAGAAAAATGAGTGAATTACCCTCCTCAGATCCCAAATATTAAATAAAGTTATTGCCGATTCATGACGGTAAAAAAAAAAAAAAAATTAAACAAAAGAAAAGTTTTGGCCAATTAGGCCCGGATCATGTTTTCTTTCCCCTCTTGGCTGATCTTGCGGTTGTCTTGTTTGCGCTTGAGGCGCGCTTGAGCGGCTAGCATTCGCTCAACCGGGATGGGGTCCCTTTGGACGGACGCGAGACTTTGTCGCCTTTTGGTTCGATCAGGGAGATGATAGGTTTGCGGCAGGCCTGTTATGGCGTCTAGACTGTATTTTGAGGGGGAGCGGCGAGCGCGCAGTCGTTCGGTGCGGATTTGTTTGCTGTCTTCGCGGGTCGCGAGGTGATGAGCGAGGGATGTTATGGTTGAATGGGTTGGGACGTATGAGCGGTAGCTCTCTGAGTTGTATCTCTGTCTAGAGGTGCGTCGGGTGGGTGGTTCGAGTGGTTGGTAATCGGGGGGTGAGGATGGCGGGATACCATCGCCTTTCAGAAGGTGGGTTTCTTTTGGTTTATGAGGTGTATCATCTAAGTATGCCAGTTGCTCACTGTGATCCTCTGTTTCCAGGCCTAGGGCTTTTGAAGCCCGCTTAACATCTAGCTCACCTAGTACCGTTCTTGTGGTGTGCGAGCGTCGATCCTTTGCGCGCGGGCTTGGGCTTGGAGGTTCGTCCATGTCCTGAGTCTCATCGTTTTGCTCCTTTTGAGGGCTGTCGTGTCCAAAATCATACACCTGGACCCCAGTATATGCCTTATCCGAGTGACGAGTCCGCGATCGGAGTTCAGGAAGGCGCTCGAAAGTGGTCAACTTCAACTTCAGGAGATCAATCTGGTCCTGCATGCGGCGACGCTCATCATTGAACGACTCCCTGAGACCGTCTTCTTGCTCGCGGTGTTGTTGTGATGTCGATTTCAGACGCTCTCTGTATTCTTGGACCCGTAGTTCTAATTTGGCTTCTCTCTGCTTCAGTTTTGCCTCCTTTTCTTTGCGTCGTCCTTCATACTTGGTCATTTCTTGTTTAACGCGGGCTAGAGTTTGTTTCAGTGTCGCGTTCTCCTTCTCGAGGTTTGAAGCCTTCTGCTCCGAACTTTGGGCCAAGTCCTTGAGCTTGGTGAATTCCGATTGTTCACGCTTCATCTCCTCAAGCTTAGCGTTTGCCTCGCCCAGTGCCTGCTGGGCCTTGCGCAGCTCTTCAGCTGTGTCCCCAGAAGTGTCATTTGCGGTCTCGGAAGATCCCGCGAGGTTCTCTACGTCATTATTAACAACACCGTGCTGTTCTAGGAGTTTGCGCAATAAGCCAACTCGGTGTTTGTACTGCAAAGCCAGCGCGGTTTGTTTGGTGAGCTCCTGCACCAGCTGCTCCTTGTCTGCTTTCGAATTCTCTCCAACCATTGTCGACGCGAGTTGAGTAACGTGACGTTCCATCTCAGAAACCTTCACTTCTTCCTCCTTGAGTTTTTCGGCTAACCGTAGGGCTTCTTCATCCTTCTTCCTGGCGTACGCTTTCGCAGCTGAGCGATACTGAATAAGTTTCCTTATTTCTTGGGTGGTTTTGGTTCTATAGCTATCAAACTCGGCTTTCCAGTATTTGCCAGACTGAGACCGGGGTTCGTTTAGGTTGATAGTGTCGTCGCCAGTATCATCTTCCGTTGACGACGCCGACTGTGCCACCGGCTTCGGTTCGGTGGACAGGGGGCTTTGTGAGGCCTCCGACTCCTTGGGGGACTTATCGCGTGAGTCCATCAGTGCCTGTGTTAACTTGCTCCGCGGTTTAGCCTTCCCATCTGAAGAATTGATAGACCACTGGCTAGTCAATGGAGTTCTTGATGACTTGTTAGGTGATTCGCCTCGCTTGCGCTCATTGTCGACAACGCCATCGCCGAATGAAACCGTCTTACGTCGGTTTGATGCAGTGCCAGGGGTGACAAGGATGCTCTTAGTGGGGGACGCCATTGCATTCACAGCCATATCAATGTCGGCTTTCGTGGCTATCGGAGTATCGCTCGTGTTCCCAATAGTGGGCTTCAGCGACAGGTTCGCGCGGGACAGCTGATTGGCTGTCAGATTCTTCTGATTCGGTTCCCGCTCCATCTGGTCCTCGTCATCAGCCCCAGGGGTGCCAAACAAGGCGCTCTTGAAAGCGCGAATGGCGAACACAGGTGCAGGCGTTTCAGGAGGTTCCAGCACCTTTGAGTTGTCTATGGAGATAAACAAGGAATAAACAAGTCAGCGCGACAGCCGTACGATTTTGCGTTGGGGGGGAAGATCGCAAGTCCGCTATTGGACCGACCATGGGGCGCGTGCCCAAGCTTCATGCGGCCAGCGAGAGCCACGCACCTGCAAACTGCTCGTTCTGCCCAGTGATCCACTCCAACATCGCGCCTGCAGGACAAGGTGAATCAAATTACTAACAAGATCGAGGGTCGCATTGCAGGGGCGGACACCATTGGCGTCTTATCAGAGGTCACGACCAAGCCGCGGGATTGACGTGGAACGCTGTGCTTTGTTTACGATGCTCAGCGGGGACGCTAACGACCCAAAGGCGGTCAGCGGAAAAACAACGGTGCGAGCCTTAAGGCAGTTTAGCTCGTCCTATAGTTACCGCTCTTTTACTCCCAATTTCCCGTGTCCGTCATTTGGTTCTTCCCTTAATCACCCCCACTAATTTTAAATTAGTTATAGTCACCAACTGTCCCTTGTACCTTTCCCGCCCTCTTTCTTTTATATTGGTACCTGATCAGTCTGAATATGTTCCTTATTGAAGCATAGAGGGCTGCAGCTTCGGCTGCAACTTTGTCACAGCTATCGCGTGGCAAAGATTCATCTCGACCTGGGTGCAATACTTTATCTCACACCGCCCGACGCCCCGCTATGCCTCACAAGCAGAAGAAAACTTCCAGCAATGCCCACAAGAACGGCTCTCCCCGGGCGGAGAAGAAACGTCAATTCCCCCCCAATGCCCCTTCACTCGCCCTACCAGTAGTGGCCCCGACCGATTACGAGGAGATCCACCGGAATGAAATTGAAGCGCTCCGCTCAATCTACGGAGATGATTTTGAAGAAGTTGAACATAAGCGATCTGCCTGGCAGGTATGTCTTGTTTTCCCTCGCCATTCTTCTTGTCCACACTGGTTAATTGTGATTCTCGATCCTAGCAATCGTCAGATGTCGTGTTCAAACTTCACTTGCGTGCTTCGTCCAATCCGGAGGTCCGTCTTGATTTGCTGGTTGAACTGCCCACAACCTATCCCAAAACCTACCCGAACCTTTTCTTGGAAAACTTAGACGATCTGCGACAAGGGGCCCGGTCGAGGATTGATGACATCATCCGGACCAAGCCGAAATCCCTCGTGGGGTCTGAGATGATCTACGAGATTGCCGTTTCGATACAAGATGTTCTAGAGGATGTGGCAGAAGCTAAAGCTCAAAATAAAGACCTACCCAGCCTGGAGGAGGAGCGCATGGAACAGGAAGCTGCCGCCAATCAGCGCGCTGAGCTAGAAAGGCAAGAAGAGCTTCAGAAACAAGAGGCCGCCACTGCGGAAGAGGAACGAGCACTGCAACAGCTATTAGAGGATAGGCTTAGAGAGAGAACGAAAGCCCGACTCTTGCGACGCAAGAGTCGAACCTCTGGAATAGACACGGGCAGCGACATTGATGCTGGGGAGAATATCCCAGGTGCAATCTCCTTCGACCCGCCCCTCATTATGGCCGATAGCGACGAAGGGCCACTGGTTTTCCGCGCTGTTTATGGGAAGACGCTTCTCAAGAGTGCCCAGGGAAAAGACACGTATGTCGTGAGACCAGTGGTCACTGAGAATAGGTGCCATGCTCCTCTCTTGGTTTTAAAGGAGTATTCGATCGATGAGACGCGATTATCTCCACTTGCATTCAGAGAGAAAATGCGTAGCAGCGAAGATAAATTGGAAGCTCTAAAACGGCTACGACATCCAAATCTGCTGGATTTCGTTGGCTTCAAGATTTACAGGCCCCTCGAACCTGCCAGTCCTCAGGACAACACTTGGAGAGTTTACCTTCTTCTCGAGCATGCAAACAAGGGGTCATTGTCCGAGTTTCTGGATATCGTAGGGTCTGTACCCGTGGAAACTCTGCGAAGCTGGACGATCCAACTTCTTGAAGCGCTCGAGTTCTATCACCGGAGCGGCTTTGTCCACGGAGATATTCATTGCGGGCGCATCATGTTATTGCGAAACCAGACAGGTGGCACTATTGTGAAGCTGCAAGCGAGCATTGAAAACGCCCTCCCTGATTCTGCCGGCAGCCGACAGTCATTAGAAGCTTCCAAATCACCACTTTGGCTTCCTCCCGAGTCGACACAAGGGAATACTTCGCCGACGATGAAGACAGATGTGTGGGATTTGGGTATAGTGTTTCTCCAGATGGGATTCGGTAAAGATGTGCTACAGCGTTACACTTCGGCAAACGCATTGATGGGAACACTGGGCTTGTCTGCTCCACTGCAAGATTTGCTTAACGAATTCTTCAGAACGGATCCAAAGAAGAGACCGACAGCCTTTCAGCTCCAGCCGTCCGAGTTCTTCCGTGTTGATGCACCTTTGGTGTCTCACTCAAGCACCTCAAACTCCATATCACTGCCGAGACGTCCTCGCTTCGATTCGTTTGGAGGCTTGCCAGCATTTTCACGGTATTATCAAGACTTTGATGAGGCTGGTCGCTTGGGTAAAGGTGGTTTCGGTATGGTGGTCAAAGCGAGAAATAAACTTGACGGTCGTCTGTATGCAGTCAAGAAAATTACTCAAAGATCCGCCGCTGCGCTTAAGGATACACTGTCGGAGATTATGCTACTGTCACGTCTAAATCATCCCTACGTAGTGCGTTATTACACTGCGTGGATTGAAGAGGATTATGACTTCGTGGATGAGGAAGCTGTGTCATCTACGGAGGGAGATCCTTTCGCTAGTCAAGGCTCTGAAGGCTCTCAAGACTCGCAGGGATACGGATACAGCACAGGCGGACTCGATTTTATCAGCTCCAGTGGCTATCCCAAGATTGAGTTTGGCTCTGATAGCGAGGAAGAAAATGATGGGACGTTATCCAGCCGTGGTAATGGGGAAACACCCGAAACTTATGGCACTGGAAGTGAAACCGGCAAGGAACTTAGCCGAGTGAGATCTGGCTCGCAAGGCAGACCTGTTTCCACTACACTGTATATTCAGATGGAGTATTGCGAGAAGCACGTAAGTATAAACCTGTTCACTACTGCTTAGCTATTCTTATTCAGCTGACCATTCGAAAGACCCTTCGTGATTTGATCAAGAATGGTCTGTACGATGATGTCGACAGAACGTGGCGTTTGTTTCGCCAGATCCTCGATGGACTGAGCCACATCCATGGTCATGGTATTATCCACCGGGACCTCAAGCCCGACAACATTTTCATCGATGTTGCCAATAATCCTCGCATCGGGGACTTCGGTCTTGCCACAAGTGGCCAATTCACGACGGCTGTGCGCTCTTCGACGGCTGCAGATTTTGAAGGAGACTTTACTCGCAGCTTGGGTACGACATACTATGTCGCACCAGAAATGAAGTCCGGTTTTACGGGTAACTATAATGACAAAGTAGATATGTACTCTTTGGGAGTCATTCTATTTGAAATGTGTTATCCCCTTGGGACCGGCATGGAACGTGACCAGACACTCCGCGCTATCAGGGAGAAGGAGCATACGTTACCACCTATTTTCCAGTATTCGGAAAAAGCTCTCCAAGGAAAGATCATCAAGTCACTATTGAGCCACAACCCCAGCGAACGACCTTCGGCTTCAGAACTTCTCCACAGTGGTCAGATTCCTCTCCAGGTCGAAGAGGAAACCTTTAGACGGGCGATCATGCACTTGCTGTCCGATCCTAGCTCACCTGATTATAAGAAGATCTTGTCGGCTATCTTCTCACAGTCTCCTAAGAAGTTCGAAGACATCGCCTGGGACATGGATTCCCGCGGGACACCAGCGGCGAATGAGCTGCTGGTTCAAGGTTTAGTCAAGGAACGTTTGACCTCTATCTTCCGCAGGCATGGGTCTGTGGAAACTACAAGGCAGATGCTGTTCCCAAGGTCTCAACATTACAACAACGGAGCTGTTCGGCTACTTGACTCCACTGGTAACGTTCTTCAGTTGCCTTTCGATCTGACTCTGCCAAACGCACGCGCCATTCCGCGCCAAGATTCTTCCCTTGAGAAAACATTCGCATTCGGGACTGTCTACAGGGAGACTTCCCATGGTGGTGAGCCTCGGACTCACAAAGAGGTGGACTTCGATATCGTTTCACACAATACGTTGGATCTGGCTCTGAAGGAAGCTGAAGTCATTAAGGTTCTTGATGAGATTATTGAAGAATTTCCGCCTCTGAGGTCGGCTTCTATGTGTTTCCTTGTAAACCACTCGGACCTACTTCAACTTATTATGGAATTCTGCCGTATCACTCCTTCTCAGATTCCGCTAGTCAAGGAGGTCGTCAGCAAACTTAACGTGGGAAAATGGACCATGCAGAAGATTAGAAGTGAACTTCGGTCGCCGGCAATCGGTGTTGCCTCCACCTCCTTGGATGAGCTTGCAAGGTTCGATTTTCGTGACTCCCCGAAGCAGACGCTGAAGCGCCTGCGGGCCATCATGGTGGGCACCGAATTCGCCGAACGCTTGACTCCCATCTTCGTTCGAATAAATTGGCTGATGGCGTATCTCCAATGCTTCGACGTAAAACGAAAGGTTTACGTCAACCCTCTCGGGAGTTTGAACGACAAGTTCTTCCGGGGTAGCATTCTGTTCCAGTGCGTGTTTGACAACAAGCGACGTGATGTTTTCGCGGCTGGTGGTCGGTATGACTCCTTAGTCCAAGAATTCCGCCCCAAAGTCTTGGCGAGCCGTCCTCAAACTCATGCTGTGGGCTTCAATTTGAGCTGGGATCGACTCAGCACTGCTATGCTCGAGTATATCAAAGGCTCATCTAAAAGCCATGTTAAGCACCATGATGTTGAACCCGCTGCTTTTTGGAAGACCAGGAGATGTGATGTACTCGTTGCGAGCTTTGACCCAACGATTTTGCGTACGACAGGCATCAAAGTTGTTCAGGATTTATGGGCCAATGACATTAGTGCTGAGCTAGCCGTTGATGCCTCGTCTCTTGAAGAACTTCTCACCCAATACAAAGAGCATAATCATAGTTGGATCGTCATTGTCAAGCAGGATAGCCAGGAACGAGGGTTCAAGGTCCGGTGTCTGGTTCCTAAGGAGGAATTCGATTTAAGGAGCTCTGAGCTTATATCATGGCTTCGAAATGAAATCCGTGCTCGCAATCAACGTGAGGGCGCAGTCGACTTCCGCCAATCTCGAATGCCTAGCCAACCAGACCCTGGTATTGACGGCGAAAGGTCGAGCGATGTGCGCATCCTAGTCCCTCAACATAGGAGCAAGAAGACTAATAGGAGGAATATTGTTGAGAATGGTATGCCTTTACCTGAGTTATGGTGCTTATTGTTTACTAACGAGAAAAATAGCTCTTTTCCGTTCTCGCGAAGTAATCGAGGATGCGTTGAATGGGCCTATTGCCGCCATTGATACGCGCGACGATATACTTGAGGCGATCAGAGACACCCGACTATCAGATCCCGAGAGCTGGCGCACAGTCATTCAGAGTGCCCCCTTGACTGAGAGGAAGTACCTCAGTCAAGTCCATGAGCTACTCAATGACCTGGCTCACGAGAACCATGTGAATGACGGCGCGGACAACTTCAGCAACGCTTTTCTATACAATTATCGTACAGGTTCATGTGTTTATTATGATCTAGGACGCGGCAAGTAAGATAAAGAGTCATGTGTTATGTGTTATGCATATTTTCTTTGTTCCTTGTTCTTTTATACCTGAAATAACCTATTCATTTTTGGTTTTCATTTGATATATTATTGGCATTGGTGTTGGATGTTTATCTCCTCTCAGCATTTTATAGCGAACTATACCCGCAAATATACCATGCAATTCAGCGAGCAAACAATGTGACGTTTCAAGGTATCTTTGTTATTATACATAATTTAAAGCGCAATATACCATAAACCGGTTTAATCACTTTCATCATCGCTTCCGTAGCCTACTAAAGGCCCTCCCGAGGCTTGCGGAGCTGCTTGTGTTGTAACATTACCGCCTGCTAGTCCTCTCAATGCCGCAACAGTAGAGCTTGAGAATATGCTACTGTTTTCCGATTCCTGCGGAGCAGAAGCAGAAGGCGCGTTCTCAAGCATGAGTGGTTGATTTGGAGCCTCTAGCTGACCTTGATCTCCCTTTCCAGCATCCTCCAACTGCTTCGTCCGGGTATACCAGACCTCATCAGGAGGCTCATACCCTTGCAAACCGAAACTGCCCTCGATCTTCTTCCTCTTTCGAGCTTCAGGATCCCTCCCTTCCAGTTCAGCAACGAAGTCCGCCGGCAACGCCCTGCGTACCGCCTCAGCAGCTTGTTCCTCCAACCTTCTCGCCTCACGCTTTTGAGCCAATGGGTTCGGATCGACCGTCGCCCAACGCACATTCAAAATCTCATTATTGTCGAGAGCTTCCAGACAATCAGCACACCAGAACAACCCTCAACAGCTCAACAAAAGAAAGAAGAACTTACATTGATGCGCCATAGCCTCCTTCGCAAATTCCGCCTGTGCTAGAGTAGTATACGTGACGAAAGCCACACCCCTCGACGTCAACACACGTATTCTCTCAATCTCACCCCACTCGGCAAAATGCCGTGCAACAACCTCCTCAATATCATCCGTAACGTGGATCCGACCCACATACAGCGTGCGATTCTGGCGCATAAACGATCCAACACCGCCCATGTCATCGCGGTAGTCGCTGAACTTGTCGCGGCCGAAACAGTCGACATTCGGACTGAAGAGATCATGGATAGTGGGCAGACGGTGCAGATACTGGCATTCCGGTCCGAGGTGACAGACGCCGCGCGCGAAGAACAGACAGAAGTAGGAGCCGGTAACCTTGTCGGCGCGCGTGTAGCCGCTATCTTTGGAGATGTTGCATCGTGATGGGGCGTGTTGTTTCGATAGGTAGCTGTCTTCTCTGTCGCCGCCGGACCATTTCTGGAGTCATTGTTAGCATCTGTCATTCAAATTACTGATATAGACACAAATCGCATAGCGCGATTGTGTACGAGGGACAAAATATAAAACGTACATTATACCAGATGTTAAAAACTGTACCTGTCTGAGGAGGCGGTTCGGACTTGACTGTGGCGGGATCGACCTGGATGCGTGCTGGACGGCGCTTCTTCCTGATGATCTTCTTCTTCTTCGGCGCGCCTTCCGCAACGGCGGACTCGGCGGGCTGGGTCACGGCGAGGGCATTTTCGTCGCTGGCGACTTGGTGGTCTGGGGCATTTGTTTCTTCGGGTGAAGTTGTGGATTCTGTGGATTTGGGGGGATCGGCTACTGCGGTGTCTGCCATGATTGTTGTGGTGGGGTTGTGATTGAAGATTGGAGGTTCTGTCTTGACCTTTATCGCGGTCTGGGATGAGATTATTCGAGCTTGCCGTCTAGAATCTGGTCGGATTATGGTTTTGCCGATAGCGACGGTGGTTGCATGTGGTATTGATATTCCGCGTATACCGCGATGTTGGGCAGGGACTTTATATGAAGTAGATGAAGGGCATCTGAAGGAATCTACATTTTTAACTTAGGATTTAGCTTCCCTATTCAAGGCATGATGAAACAGATAATATCATCATCTGAGATGAAAGAGACCATCTAAGCGGTCGGGACAGCGGTAACTAATATACGGCAGAATCCCCCAGAACCATCGATTATGTAAGGCAGGTATTTTGCGAGATTTTGATACATGATTGTTTCCCCCCAGGCTCCCCACTCTTATCGCAGAAGATCGGACCAGAATACCTGTAGCCTGGTATCTCTGGCATATTCTACATTTGACACCCTCCAGGGAAACCGAATCACGGGCAGCTTCGTCGCAGTAGTACTTGTTATCGCTGAATTTTGAGTCCGCGGGGCTCCCAACCGGCAAAATGGTGAACATCACGGAGAAGATCAAAGAGTACGTTTGGATGGACAAATCGCCTCGGAATGGGCTTTTCAAGTGGAACTAGATTCTGATATCAAGTAATAGGATTGAAGATGAGATGCGCAGGACGCAGAGTAAGCTTCTTTCATCCCATTACCCTTCCCCGGCTTTATGCAGAACCCCGCCGCTAATTCGATGACAGAGAACAAGGCCACAGGTGCGCATACCACAACCATATCGCCCATGTTAAAACAAATTGCCGAATTCTAACCAATAACCAGAATACCATCTGGGTCTGCTGAAGGGGTACGAACCTCAGCCCAACTCCACTCAATCAAAGCAACTCAGTTAGCTAACCACTCCGACAGAAAGCTCGCCCGATTAAGAGCCCAACTTCTAGAGCCGACAGGCGGTTCCGGCGGTGCTGGCGCAGGTTTCGATGTCAGCAAGAGTGGTGATGCGCGTGTTGCCCTTGTCGGTTTCCCCTCCGTCGGTAAATCGACGTTCCTGAGCAAGATCACGAAGACGAAGAGTGAGGCTGCGGCGTACTCTTTCACCACGTTGACAGCTATTCCAGGTGTTCTGGAATATGGGGGTGCGGAGATCCAGATTCTTGATCTTCCTGGTATCATCGAGGGTGCTGCTGAGGGCAAGGGAAGAGGTCGTCAGGTTATCTCTGCTGCTAAGGCGAGTTTATTGCCCACTTTCTTCTTCCTTTCTGAGAGCGGTGGTTGGAGGAAGATATGATGGGCAGCTATGTGTCTAACTGGTTACCAGACTAGTGATTTGATTCTCATGGTTCTCGATGCCACCAAGCGAGCAGAACAGCGGGCACTCCTAGAGGCGGAATTGGATGCCGTTGGTATTCGTCTGAACAAGGAGCCTCCGTAAGTAATTGTTCCCTGAAATTGAACCCAGCGAGCATCTCGCTAACAGGTCCAGAAACATCTACCTCAAACAAAAGAAAGCAGGCGGAGTGAAGATTACCTTCCAGACACCCCCAAAATACCTCGACGAAAAGCTCATCTTCAACGTCCTCCGTGACTACAAGATGCTGAACTGTGAAGTTTTGATCCGAGATGAATACGGTATGTTCAAATGCCCAACCAGTGACCAATTGTAAACTAAGGCATATCGCAACAGCAACAATCGACGACTTCATCGACGTCATCATGAAAGACCACAGAAAATACATCAGATGGTGAGACCAATCAAATTCCACGCTATTAAACGTTGTATCTGAGCACAACTAACTCTGAAACAGTCTCTACGTATATAACAAGATCGACAGCATCAGTCTCGACTTCCTGAATCAGCTCGCTCGTGAACCACATACCGCCGTAATGAGTTGTGAACTAGACCTCGGCGTCCAGGAAGTAGTCGAACGGGTCTGGAAAGAACTCCGTTTGATCAGAATATACACGAAACGGTACGCGTCTATCCTGCAGCCTGGTAACCCGATGAAGATAGATATCTAACGTTGAGCAGGAAAGGAGAAGAACCCGATTTCAGCGAAGCGTTGATTGTACGGAGCAATTCTTCCATCGAGGACGTCTGCGACAGCATTCACCGGACGTTGAAAGAATCGTTTAAGTATGCTTTGGTGTGGGGTGCAAGTGCGCGGCATATCCCGCAACGAGTGGGATTGGGACATATTGTGGCGGATGAGGATGTGGTTTCGATAGTTGCGAAGTAATTGCGATATGGGGGTTATTCCTGTGAGACGAATACCTTAGAACTAAATATGACGACGTGACCTTGAAGCGAGGTCAGTCATTACAGACTAGAGCTCCTATGCTTTGTGTTTACACAGCATTCGGTGGCATTTACACGATATCTCAAAATACTGCAAGTTTGAACAGCAAGTTTTTTCAATTGCTAAATAGACCCATATAAACCATACTAAATATTAACCTGAATTGAATGACATTCACATAACCCATTAACCCAGACTCCACGCACAAAAGACCAAACCCATGAGGACATTTTTTTAGGCGGCAGCAGCAGCGGCGGCCACATTCTGCATGCCAATGGTGGGCTGCACGCCAACACGCTCCTTAGCAAGGAGATCGACCAAGAGAGGGCTAGGCAGGCTATCCCGAGTGGGGTGGAAAGCCGACTGGCTAGCCTTGTACTTGCGCACGCTGTCAAGGTAGATGTCGAACAGGTAGGAGGAGTCGAGCGGGCCGCCCTTGGCCTCGGGGTGGAACTGAGTGCTGAAGATGGGACGGGTCTTGTGGATCATACCCTCATTGCTAGAGTCATTCAAGTTCACGAAGTAGGGCTTCCAGTCGGACGGCAAAGTCGAAGCATCAACGGCATAACCGTGGTTCTGGCTGGTGATGTGGCAACGGCCAGTGCTCATGTCCAAAGCGGGAATGTTGTGGGCACGGTTACCGTACTTCAGCTTGACGGTACGAGCACCAATGGCAAGGGCCAACAGCTGGTGTCCCAAGCAAATACCAAAGATGGGCACCTGGGAGGTCTCCATCAAGCGGCGCAGGTGGTAGGCGGTCTCCTGGCAGTGGGTAGGGTCACCAGGGCCGTTGGAGATGAAGACACCATCGAAGTGGTGGGCAACCTTGTGGATGGGGTAGTCGTAGGGGAACACAGTGATACTGGCTCCACGGCTGACCAAGCTGCGGAGAATGTTCTCCTTGACACCACAATCGATGACGGCAACGTGGCACTGAGGATCGGCGGCACTCACGTGGAAGGGGGCCTTGGTGCTGACCTGACGGACGAGGTGGATCTGCTCAGGGTCCACGAAAGCCTCATCCTGGTCGGCGTCGTACTCCTCACCAACAGTGATACGGGCCAGAGAAGAACCCTGCTCACGCAGGTAGGTGACAATGGCACGGGTGTCAACACCGGAGATGGCAGGGACGCCCTCACGAGCACACCATTCGCCAAGGCTCTGGACGGCGGTCCAATGGCTGTATTGCTCAGCCACATCGGCAACCACAACACCAGCAGCCTGGAGATGAGGAGACTCAAAGTATTTGAGAAGGCCGTGCTTGTCCTTCTCGGTGGAGGGGACACCGTAGTTACCAATCAGGGGCTGGGTGAAGACCAGGATCTGACCACGGTAGGAGGGGTCAGTCAAGGACTCGGGATATCCAACCAAGGAAGTGGTGAAGACAGCCTCGCCGGAGATGTTAGAGCGAGCTCCGAACGACTTCCCGTGGAAGATAGGACCATCTCGGATCGTGAAGGTGGCACGCTCATGGGCAACGCGACCGTTACGCACAGTGGCCATGAACCGAGACTGGATAGAAGCGTTCACGGAAGGGAAGGCAGAGGCCCTGGCGGGCATTGCCTTGAAGATTCGGGCAGCGAACATATTATGTCAAGTGATTTAAAGTAGAAGAGTTGTACGGTTGGTGTTTGAAAAAGGGTTCAGTAGTTTCCGGAAGCTTTCCAGAGATGATCCGAGATGTAGTCCTGCAAGCAGTCCCTAGTTAGTCCCAATTGACCCATACCGACAATACAAGTCATCATCCACAACCCGGAAACAGACAAGGGTTTGTCCATCACGGGGGTATCACGTGGACATGCACTGGGGTCTACATACCTGAGAAGTGAAAGTCGAGAAAAAACGCATAAGCGCGACGGTGCTGTTACCAGTCACTAAAAAATGAATAAGATAGGATTGAGAAAAGGTTGCTTAGATCGACATCGACGAGATGTGCGTGCAGATAGTCTGAATAGTTGTAGATATGGGATGAGTCAATGGGAAGAGAAGAAAGAGGAAGAGAAAGAGTGACGAGAGCGGCGGATCTTAAGGAAGAGCGGAAGAAACTGAGCGCCGGCCCGGGTCGGAGGCACGTGACGCGCTACACCGACTTCTGCGGGATCCCGACCAATCAGGGGGGCGATTATTGGCTCGATTTGCCTGCGCTATCGGAATGGCAACTTTTTTCTATCAGTATCGGCGCCTTCAAATAAACCCAATTATCCAATCGATTCTCCACCGTGTCATTATCTTTTTACGCCCTCCGCACTTACGCCCCCGTAAAAGGAATCCCGGTGGTTGGTTAAGTTAAGTAAGGACGACACCGACTGAACTGAATCCATTGCCATAACCCTACCTTGAAGAATTCGACAATCATGTCTTACACAATCGACTAACACCAATTGCTGATCAATTGAATTTGAAACTGATACTACAGGAACAGGAAAAATCGCCACCCTGACTCACGCAGGATGATCAAGTTATTGGGTAGCCGACACTAGTGGGTCTTGATCATCACGGATGAGTTGTCCTTTCTCACCTATTCGAGCATGATGCCAGGTTAGACTATTTCCAATGGTAAAAAAATTTTCACTTCTCGGGTCCTACCAATGGCAGAGTCTGGGCCGCCGTCTTCCGGTGCCAAAGAGTCCGGGGAATTTTATTCTATCAGGGGAAGCTTCTTGGCACCGACGGCAACTTTTCTCATCGGCATAGCCGAATGATCTCCGAGAAACTCCCACTGCTACTCATAGGGAAATATACAAAGAGGTGGCACAACTCTAGCGACATCTGGTAAATTGGCAACATCGGTGGATTTTTTACATTTAAACTTCCGGGGAGTTAAGTGATTCCCATACTTGTATTCCAAGAATCCTATAGATTCCATCTCATAAAGGGCCTTCTAGATATTCATATAGACTATATTCATTAACTATATATTCAAATCAAGATTGATGGCGTTAACTAGTAATAGCTCTATTCTATCATGATTATATTTAAACCCCTTCTCCAAGCCTTAGTGGCAACGATTCTACTCACACTCTCCTTGGGACGAGTGTCCCTCCAATCCCCATCCCACCAGCAACTCATTCCACAGTCTAATAACCACTGGGAAGACCCAGGCTGCGACGGCTCCGGCATCGTCGATCCAGACGGCCACTGCAATGGCGATGGAATCATCGACAACCCCCAGAACCCCCGAGACAAGGAGCGAGAAGGATTCCGATTCGACAATCCTTCAACCAACTGCAAATACGTTACGCAAATGCACATCTGGGACTCCTTCAAAGATCTCGAGAAAGATATGAATAAACTATTTACCCTAATTCACAAGAACGTTAGCTTCACCGTGGTGGGCCACCACCCCATAGCCGGCCATTACAACGACCTGCTCCATTTTTATGTCAATGCATTGCGTCGAGTGAGCGTTTTGTTCATGGACCATGCAGACAAGTTCGAGATTCATCCGCAGGCTATCCATGGGGGCTGTAATAGTGCTTGGTCGGTATCAGAGATTAACTTCAAGGGCGTCATGAACTCTGGTATGTATATCCCCAGTATGACCTCGTTAGGATAGTGCTCATGTGCTTTGCAATGATACCAGGGGATGATTTCGACATTGTAAATGTGTGGGTGACGAGATGGTATCAAGATCAGATGGTCGAGATTCGGACATATATAGATGCCCCGCGGATCATGGATGCTCTTCACAAGAACGAGCTCTGGTGGAATGGCACCACGTTTCGTGACAATGTGCACTACATGCCGGGGCCTGCAGGTATGCCTGATCTCAAGGAACTGGAGGACCTCATGGGTTATCCCGATGGCCGTAACTATGAGGACTGAGTCAGGGAGTTGGCAATTCATATACAAGGTAGCTGCAGGCACAGCCAATAGTGTAGTTTTGATTAGTAAAATGGCCCCATGTGGTGATTACCTTTCGTCTATAGATAAGCAGGAAGTGGTAGTTGCTGTAACAAAGGAGAAACTCGTGGTTAGTCGACTGATATATACAGCCCTATATTCGATGATTTAAATGCAGATATTCAATTCGCCGTCATTCCATCCGCTAGACTCGCCCAGCCTTAGCGCAATATAACTAGCTAAGACTAATAGCTTGCTTATCTCAAGTCTCCACACCACAATAGGCGACAATGAAAGAAACATTAGTTAGTCTGACAGGGGTGAGATGAGGAGCTAACATTCTTCGGATTCCTTCCGGTCAGCCTCAACGCCGCCATGACCTTCGAGCATCTCCCCTTGATACCACACCTGCTCGTCTTTACTTTTATTCTCTCCCATTTGCACTTAGCCCAAGGGCACATTGGATCATACTAAAAGAACCGCCCAACGTAAGTAATGCTAGACCACAACAGCGAATGGGGTAAACTCGCAGGCCGCATAGCCATAGGCCTGGCAGCAGCCTACTTCATTTCGTTCTTCTACAAGATGGTCAAAGTGCGACTTATCTTCTACCGTCTCAAGAAACAAGGAATGGTAAGCTCCCTCCACTATCTCTTATAACCACTCAACTGACAGACACCTGTAGCCAATGCCTCCCTGGAACCCAATTCTGGGGCATCTCCACGTCGTAGCTGGGTTTTCCAAGCAATTTCCTAGCGATATGCAACAAGCTCAGTCTTTCGGGGCCCTTGCATCTCAGAACCCCGAGCTGCAGGCTGGTTACTACCTGGATGTCTGGCCATTCGGTGTCCCGATGTTTCTTGTTGCCTCGCCTGAGCTGGCTGTGCAGGCGTGCCAGACGTATGATCTTCCCAAACCAGATGTGCTTGCCCCGATCATCGGGGAGATGGCTGGTGGACGGAACTTGTTCGTGGTGAATGGTGCGGAGTGGAAGCGGGCTCGGGAACTATTCAACTACGGGTTCAGTATGTCGGCTGTCATGTCACGCGTTCCTCAGATTGTTGAGGAAGCAGAAGTATTTGTGGACATTCTGCTAGAACATGCGAGGAAGGGAGATACCTTTTCTTTGGACCAGGTGGCTTGCAGTTATGTTATGGATATTATTGGGCACGAAGCATTGTAATTACCTATTCTCGGCGCATTGCTAGTATCCAAAAGCACTAATGAGCTCCCCACAGGAACACTCGCTTCAGATACCAGCAGGGATACAACCCGATTGCTGCATCGATGAGAGACACGATCAGCCGGTCTTCTGTGGAGGCAGCCAACCCGTTGGAGAAGTTGAATCCAGTATGATTTTTCAGACAATGGCAAAACAGCCGCACGATGAATCACTACATCGGGATTGAAATAGAAAGGCGGTACCAGGAATGGCTGCAAAATAAGAACAAACCCTCTACACGACGCCAATCGATCATGGACATGGCCATCGCAGAGTATATGAAGACGCGAGCAGCGGGACAAAAGCTCGATCCTGAGTTCAAAACGTGGGCTACTTTCCAGATCCGGCTCTTTCTTTTCGTTGGACATGATTCGGCCGCAGTGACTATTATATTCTGTTTATACCAGCTGTCCAAGCACCCAGACATCCTAGCCAAAGTCCGCGCCGAACACGATGAAGTCAGTGGATCGTATAGCGCTGCGGAACTGCTCAGACAGCATCCCGAAGCGATCAATCAGCTCCCGTACACATCGGCGGTGATCAAAGAGACACTGCGCCTCCATCCTCCTGCCAACGCACTGAGAGATGGGCTTCCAGGCATGGTGCTCCGAGAGCAGAATGGTAGAGCGTTCCCCGTGGAAGGCTTCGCTATTTGGGCTCTCCATGGCGCTATCCAGCGCAACGCGAACTCGTGGCCGGAGCCGTACGAGTTTATCCCCGAGTTTATCCCCGACCGCTGGCTCGTGAAGCCTGGTCATCCTCTGTATCCCCCGAATTGGGGTTGGCGGCCTTTTGAACAAGGGCCCCGCAATTGTGTTGGGCAGAACATGTCGCTCGTTAGTATCAAGGTCTCGCTTTTGATGACCGTGCGGGAATTCAATGTACATGACCAGTATGCGGAGTGGGATCGTCTACGTCTGTCTGCGGGTATCAGGGCTATGGATGGGGAGCGGGTCTATATGGTGCAAAAGGGGTCGGGGCATCCTGCTCAGGGGTTTCCGTGTAAGGTTACGATGGCTAGGGGTTGAGGGTGTAGATAAGCCTGCCTCATGAAGGTATCAACTGTTTCTGTAAAACAATGTTTTAGATTCAACTGTCAGTCAACGTTTTCACAATGCTCAATATCTCATCCAGGCATTTCAATAAATATCTCCGTGTATTTAATGCCTCGGATTTCTCAAGCCGTCTTTCCAGTTTCAAGCATAGACGCTGCCAATCGAGGTCCTCACCTGCAACATCCTGTACTTCATGAAAGATATTGGCAGGGATCCTATAATACCAGAAGGTGTTACTGAAAGAAAAGCCCCAAGCCCTCTCCATATTGGCTATAGCCTGCGATGGGAGGCATTCAGCGATCATGTAGAGGATCTCCACCGGGAGGTTACAAGTTTTGACCTGCCGCACGCGTTTACGGACAGGTCGGCGATGTTTGCTCTTTAACTTCCTCCGATCTGCCTGTTCTAATGCTAGACCAATAGCCTCTGAAACGCACTTTGTGCGGACAGGATCTAGCGCAGACCAGATGCGTATTACCCAGCGGTCAATGCCATACTAGAAGGATAAACACGCAGATAAATAATAAACGGTGATACTACCTTCAGCAGTCATCTCCGGGATTTCAGCCTTTCTCTGGCGCCCCAACTTAAATCGCTGTCGAAGAGCCACTAGAACAATTGCCAGGTCTTTCTCCGCGGTAGCACCCAGCTCATGGTACGAGAGGAGCTCCCAGCAACGGGCGTGAACACGGTAGCCCACCCACACCCAGTGAGGCCGTGGTTCTCTATAATAGTTGTGAAATCTGGGTTCCACAACGCGTTCAATTTGTCTTTGCGTCCACGGGCGTGAGACCAGGCCATGTTCCTCGTTCAAGGGAGCCGACATGATGGTGCATACCGCAACGCCTGAGATTTGACATGTATGTTCCTTCTGGTTACAGAGAACTTATAGGGTGTCAAATATCACTTATGGATGTCTGACTGAGTATGGATGGCTCACTCATGCGATGGACAGCCCACCAGGCCTTTCTCCAGAAGAGATGAAGATCTTCTACGTCCTCGGCGTTGTGGAATACAGCTCCATCATACTTGCGTAGGCTCGTGGCCTTGAAACCATGCTGCCAATTACAAGGTTCCATATAAAATGTATAACTGCAGATGTAGCAGTGCGGATTGCCATCGTAGGAATGATCCCGGGAATACCGAGTCATCTGGGATAGGGTAGTAATAACCATGTTTTCTTGGACTGAGAAATCCTTGATCAAGGAGGAATAATGGTCTACCTAGAGAAAGACACTCGGGTACAGTAAGAAGGACATATTACTTCATGCTCAACGCATGATAATAGTAATTGTGACGTCCTACTCCGGTAGGGCTCGTATTGTATTGTTTGTTAGGGCAATATGCCAAGAGGAGTGGGCGACGCTATACCCGATCTGCGCAAGGGATCCTTAAATCAGTTGATTCAGTTCATCCACCAAGCCTCGGTCCACTTACTATTTACCTCACGAGACATTAAACCGAACAGGAACAATGGTTTGAGTCCATACTCTCCAAAGAATGAGTGAGACGGTGAGAAAACGCTCCAGGATCGCTTGCGTCTCCTGCCAATCACGCAAACGTAAATGCACCGGCGACCAGCCGTGCAGCACATGTTGTCAATTTGGCATCGACTGCCACTACGATCTGCTGTCCCGCAAGAAAAAGGATGCAAGGTCTTTTAGACCACACCAATCAATTCCTCCAATAGCCAGCACTACTTCCCGTAATGAAACTATTCCCAAGAGTCACCGCGAGGGAACTACAGGCGACTCCCCTGACATGCCTGTTAACTCCTTGGAAGCCAACTCGGGAGCGGCATTTGTGCGGAGATTGGGACTCAAGATCGACCCAGCTAATGCCCCGAGGCTAGATCTGTTTGCCTGGAACGTGGGCGCTCGCCATCCGACCCCTTCTTCGATGCCCCCGTCGTCCATGCCCAGGGCAGTAATCGTTGTAGACATCATTTCCCTGGAAGAAATGAAGCTGCTAGCCGCCACGTTTTTCGAAAAGGTAGATCCGTGCTACGGCTTCATCGATCGTGACCATCTATTCCGCCAACTAGGCAGACGATGGCTCCCCCCATCATCTGAGTCTGCATTGCCCTACGGACCGTATGATGCCGTGCTCTGCGGCGTTGCAGCATTCGGGTATCTTTTCTCACGCAGACAGGCACCCCAAACAGAACTTCAGCTGGCTGAGGCAGCTCGCCTAATCCTTGACCAACACATGCTCTCTGAAACACCTTCATCGGTCGACATTGTCACTGGCTGGGTGCTTCGAGTGGCATACCTACGCACGACAGCTGCTCCCGATGCCGCTTGGATGGCTAGTTGTTCGCTGATGCATCTCATTGAAGCCACAGGTCTTCATCTGGAGCCCTCGTCAGACACAGTCCTCGGCCAATCGGCAGAGCCGTGCGACCCAGAAATCCGGCGGAGGCTATTCGCCATGGCGCGCCATCTAAACGTCTGGATCTCCTTCGAGCTAGGACGTTCCCGCGTCGTCCTATACGGAGCAACATCTCTCCCGCCCGCCCCAAGATCAACTGGAGAGATCTTCAACCTTCTCCCAGTATCAGAAAGTCTGGACCCAAACAAAGCGCAGGATTCCCTGGACCTAGAGTCGGCGCTGGCGAATGTTCTGGAGGTTGTCCATCCACTTGCCTCACATACTTTGGCCCAATGTAATCTGATGCTCTGCATCTACCGGCGCTTGCGTGGTCTCGACTCTGTTATATCTGGTGCTCTCCTTGACCAGGTACTTGAGTTAGCAAAAAAGGGTCTGAAGGCTTCTCGCGACATGATCGCATTGATCAGTCCGTGGCATCAGACTGCCAACGTACCCTTCCAGATCGTTTGTACATTACTAGCGATTGACAGTCGCGCTTCATTAGCATTGCTTGGCGATGCGATGCAGACACTGCGCGAGGTCGCCTTAGCGTATGATACAGACGTCATGAGGGAGGCCTACAGTACGGCATACCTGCTGATTCTGCTACACCAGCGACGAAAGGAAGAGGATACAAGAACTCTTCGGGGTGTTTTGCGTGCCAACTCCGCTGCCTCGGCACCACAGACAGAGATCACGGAACCCGCAATTGAGTCGACTCATTCACTCGCGGACTACCCGGGGTTCTCGTGGTTGAGTGACCTAGTGATTGATATGCCGGGTCTGCAGAACTTTGATCTCGAAAGTTTCCTAGCAACCGACAATTCATGGCCGCTGCCGGAGCCAGGGATGTGATATGTTATATTTCAGATTACAACTAGCGCGTGCTCTCCCAAAACCGGATACCACATGTGTTGTGATAGTCGATGGTATGGAACGGGAGGCCGCTCCTACGATTTCAGTCGTATGCGTGGCAAACAAAGGCTTATATTACGAAGGCTGTGGTCAGTCTATTCAGACTTCTTTTGCTTGGTACTCCTTCTCTGTGGTCGTGTTCCAGAAGACCAGGCTATCGCACCCAGCTTCCATAATACCCACAGCGACCCGAGGCCAATGACAATCATGGTTCCCAACTCAATCGCCTTACTTTGGAAAAAACCTTTATCATCCAACTTCAGAACCGGAACTTCCAATTCCTCAACAAGCCGATCAGATGAAGGATGCAGCTGGTAGAACATGGTCCGAGTCCCAAACAACCCCTCCCATCCAAGGTTGATCCTGTCAAAGGGGTTTACCCCCATCTTGGTGCCGTCCTCGGCCGTGCAAGCCCAAAATACCACTGGCCATGGGACTGGGGCGGAGCGGTAACCAGACTCGGACGGCCGCAGGTACCGCAGATGGAGGGGAATAGTAACATTCCACTCCTCTAGAACTTGATCAGACTCAGAAGGTGTGGCTAGCTCAAGCAACCAATTTGATCCCCAGCGAGATACAAACCAGTCTGGCGCCTCAAGGTCTGTCTCCCCGGCGACTGCATGAAGCGCAACCAAGTTGTGAGAGTCCAGAAATAACGGGTCAGTGGTCGAAAGCTGATATTTATCGCCAAATATCGTCGATGGGAGCGTCAAGTAGGTGTGAAGCGCGCATGTCGCGTCCGGCGGAGCAGGCGGGGGGTTAAGCGATGATGGTGGCATCGAGATGGTCATGGTTGGATGCAAACCCGTCGGGGAAGTAAACGAGATCGAATACGTTGCGTCCTCCGGGAGCGGTTGATGGCGAGAGGGGAAAGAGAAGAGCGTCGGCTCTGCCCATGGATCATCAGTACCATATCCGTACGCAACACCAAACGCACTCAGCAACCCGCTACTAAGCATACTTAACTGATCATCCTTCCCGACAACAGCCAGTAACCCTCCCATCTTAATATCCTCAGGCTCTGTCGCCGTTTCAGTGCCTAATAGTCCTACTTCAACCTGGTTCGTCCCCGCGTCATGTTTCCGTATCTCATCCGTCCACCCATTCTCCGGCGATTGTGACCAATACCCCAAGACAGTCAGCGAGTGCGATATACTATCGTAGTTGATATCGACTGAGTCCGCGGACCGGATAGATGCGGCATGACTGAGACACTGTTCGTCGGATGACGAACAAATCTTGTTCTCAATATACGCAACTAGCTTATCAAGCGAGGGAAGTAAACTGTGGTATTGGAAAGCAGCGGTGGAAGCGAAACGCGTGGACAGGATGGGAGGCGTAATGAAAGATTCCTGCAATGTCTGTCAGCCGTGAGTACGCTCATAAAAGAGAAACAAAATACCAACCTCGGGGTTCTTGCATTTTAACCCATAATCAAACGTCCTCTTCAACAGCGCACACAATGATTTCCTTCAATAAACCATCAACATCAAGATAACAAACACACCCATATCCCAAGCAATGAAACTCACAATTTGTTCTCCTCAGACGAACCATCAACAGGCGTGTAGAAAACATGTAAACCAGGCGAAACCCGACTCGAAAATGGCGCAACAGCATCATACCGCCTTTCCGACGCCCACCGGACATGAAGCTGATGGCATTGTTTCAAGACCTCTGAAAGCTAAAATAACCAAAATCTAGCATTAACCCCGTACGCCACGTAAAACTCAAAGAACAGGTTCTCAAAAATAGCAGGGAAATACCTCCTCAGGAAGCTCATCAATGCTAAACGTCGCCCGTTCCTCACGGGCACCGTCAATCCCATGCACCGCGAGGGCATCGGGTGTTAGGACCGCTTGATCCAGGGAAAAGGGGGTCTCGGGGCGTTGGACGAAGGTGGCTCTGCGACGCATTTTTGGATTGCTTGATTGACGGAGTTGTCGGTGAATCACTGGTTGAAGGGAGTTGGAGCTTGTTTCTCCGCATTTATTGTTTGTCGTCACGGGGGAATGCTTGTTGCTTGATTGGGTTAGTGTGGGTGTTTTGGCGATAAGATAAGGATTACCCTTTTGGGACAGATAGTGATTAGCATAGTCAATGTACATAGCACGTTCTAGATTTATGTGTTGGGTTTGATTTGTTCCCAAGTCCTGATTCTTTATTTTTGCCTCTTTTGCTTTGTTTTTTGGCTTGAGCGTAGTGAAGGCTTGACACCTAGTGGGATCTTAATGGCCTTCCAATGTTATACATATATATATATATATAGTATGTTAGCTTAAGATACTCGGTTCCCCCTTCGACAATCAGTATTCAGCCAGGAGAGAATCGAAACCCCATGGTCTAGATAGTTTAATCATTTATTCTCCTTCCATTTATTGAAACCCTTCCGATTACTTCAGGCTCAGTAGGCAGTGTACCAGGTAAAATGACGCCGTTAGCCCAATCCTCAATTCTTTTCATTAGTCGCCAAGATTTGAGACACGACTAGACTGCGGAGTTGATGAAACCAAAAGAGGGAGGGAAATCGGAGTTTGCCTGCATTATGCTAAGCACGGAACATTGGTAACCTCGTGCCACGATAGGTGGGCATGACGACATCTCTGGCTTTTGCATACTTCACTAATTATTGATAGTACTTGTACTTAGTGCCTGCCAATAGTAAATTATGTATAGCTCATGGGAACTATGATAAAATTGGGCGTCCAGTGCAGGCAGATAGCCCCGCGCTTGTCGGCGGATCCAATCTAGACAAAGATGTAGGGGGGGTTTCCACTGTGGAAACAACCCTTGAATAGGCACTAAGAGGTGCCTGGAAATCCCATAGCTGGATGTAGCAGTAAAGTAAAGATAGAATGTTGTAGACTAGCTGTCATGAAACAGCACGATCTGAAAGCTACCTTGACTCTTGCTAGTTTTCAAGCAATAGTAGTATATCCCGGTGTAACCTCCAGTCACGGGTCGGCCCGCTTTACCGAGCTTAAATGCTTCGGGAGATGGAGTATTATCATTCATAGCAGTGAAAGATTTGAGGTCGAGTATTGGCGTGCGATCTGTGGGGTTGCGTCTTAAGGGGTCTTGCTGGAATAATATATTGGAACGCAGTGCGTGCAACTACATTATTTGGTGTTATAATCTGCTCCTATTGGTAAAACTATATCTTAATACAATCCATACTGCAACAGGGATGAAATTAAGGACGAAGTGTTGTAGCTTTTATTATCAGAATCTAGCAAAATACAATAGTGGAAATCATATAAAACCCATGTCATCACATCATCATCAAGCAACCCGTCGCTCGCCCCAACGCCAACGATGCTGGTATTAACTGGAAAAACACAAAAAGCACGAAGACGATTAAGGAAGCACGTCTTTAAGGATATCTTTCTGAGAAGCCGTCAAGCTGGCCGGGAACCGGACATTCACGTGAACTATCAGATCGCCTCGCTCGTTTGGCTTCTTTGATATCGTCATACCCTGACCAGGGAACCTTTCTTCGTACCCGGGTTGTGTCGGACCAGGCTTGGCTACCCGGATCGACTTTCCATCGATTGTGCGCACGATCCGGTCCCAGCCGGTGAGAGCCTCTCTTAGACTGATTTCAACAGTTGTGATGAGGTTGTCTCCTTGGCGTTTGAAATTGGGATGTTCTTTCTATATGGAAGTTAGTCACGAGTCCCACTATAATCGCGGGGCTGGTTTCGAGAAGTGCCACTTACCTCTGTCACGATAAGATGGACATCCTGCCTGCCGCCTTCTTCTTGATCACCCACACCTCTGTACTTGATCTTCGAACCAGTCCGCAAGCCCGGCTTAATGTTCGCTTCAAGAGTTACATCCTGGACAGTGCGTTTTCCGCTCGTGTCAAAAGTCTTGCTCTTCACGGTCACCTTCTTCGTCGTTCCGCGCATCAACTCTTCCAGTGTCAATGGCAATTCCTTTTCAACTACGGTCGGTTCGGGGGTAGGTGCGCGCTGAGATTGCTGGAAGGCACTAGGGCCACGGCTTGAGCGGAAGCTACGGCCTGCGCCGCCACCGCCGCCACCCATCCCGCCCAGGATATCGAACAGATCGTCATGGTCCATGCCAGCGCCTCCACCCTTGGCAAAGTTTCGGAAAATATCATCTGCAGAGCTGAACTGGAAGCCAGAGCCACCGCCGGGGCCAGTCGAGAAACGGAAGGTCCGGGCACCACCACCTCCTCCAGGCATGCCTCCAAATGAGAAACCACCGGGCATTCCACCGTCAAACGGACTTCCACCAGCGCCGCCAGCGCCGCCAGCGCCACCACCGGGCGGAGGGGCTGGGCCGCCCCGCATCAGATAGTCGAGGCCGAATTGGTCATAGATCTTGCGCTTTTCGGGATCGGACAGAACTTCGTAGGCTTGTGATACCTCTGTGCAAGTGTTAGCTATTATCCAAATTTATTGCAGGAAAGAGAGTGTATGTGGAATCCCATGTTGGGGGAGCACGGGAGGCGGAACCACTGTTAAAGTCACCTACCTTTGAACTTCTCCGATGCGGACGGATTATCCTTGTTCTTATCCGGATGATATTTCAATGCACCCTTTCGGTATGCTTTTTTAATTTCGTCTTGGGATGCTTCGGGTTTGATACCCAAGGAATCGTACAGCTTAGTTTCTGCAACCATGGTGGGAACAACCGGTAATGAGTGGGGTAATTATGCAGTGAGATTGAGAACAAGCAAAAATCAACAAAACCCTAATTCAAGGGACCCAATGAGAATATAAAACAATGAATTCGGAAAAGAGACCAGCTCGATGTCAGGCAATGTCGAAAAGGTCTTCCCACCTCGATGGCGAGGGAGTAGGATCTCGAATGACGTAGAAGATTCGCGACCGAGTAAATGCTTGTCGAGTGTGTCGGCGTGAAAGATTTAGGATAGTACGTAGAGCGTGAAGTGAAAGACTTAGAAAGATGCACCGCAGCCCAAAAACGAATAAACCGGCATTTAGTAAATGGAGACTTGGAGGAGGGTAGAAGGTGGCTTCATGTATCGTGCAGCGAGACGGCGGCATTCAGGTGACGACAGACCAGTCCCGATGGAGCAGCACTGTGACGTGTGACGTTGACCGCATAAGCCTCTCTGCCAATCGAAGGTTCGAGAATGTTCGGATACCACAAGTCCGTACTTATTTTCTGCCATAAGAACGGAGACAACTATACTATTTTATTGTGAAAAGACCGTATCGATTATACCTATCGCGCTGGAGCAAGCATACTATGTAGCACCGGTGCTTTCCGTTGCGTATTTGCTGTCTCAGCTCGTTCGATCGCAGTCCTTCCAGTCCTTCAATCACTGGATCCGACGGGAACTTTCTTTTTACGGTTTAGCTTGTTGACCGGCAAGCCCCATATTTCTCACATGATCCAGCTATTCTGATGTAATACTATCTCAGCTTTATTCTGTTCTTCATAGGAATGTTCTAGGTACAATAGTATTGCCAACTAGCAATTGCCAATACACGCTCAAATATGGACAAAGCATCTTATCATCATGACGACTCCGTATCCACAACGATATAATCCTTGATCACTGCAGTTCCGTTCACGACGCTCGCAGTCTGCTCTTTCGTGCAAGTGCTGCCTAGCTCGAGAATGTAGCAAGTAGGCGCAGGGCTGTCAGGAACCGTGTTGGTAACGTTCCAGGTCGAAGAGGGCCCGCGAGTGGAGTAAGTGTTGTTCTTGGCAATAGAGACCTTGCCCGTTGCAATGTCTCGGTTGAACAATGCTCGGTGGAAGATCTCATACGCCGTCTCGGGTTGATATGCCGGCACCTCATGACCTGCTTCAAAAACGCGAGTGAACGAGAAATTTCCGTATTGTCGTACCAAACCACCGATATACGATGCATTGGTCTTCAGAGGGGCGTAACCCGCAGAGCGGAACTTGGCGGCATCCGAGTACTCCACCTTCAAGCTCACTTCTTCTCCTCCGTTCCAGGGGCAAGCGTAATCCCGATCGCCATATACCAGGGCAACTTTAATGCCGGAGTCTAGCACGTATGCGATATCCTCCAGGTATCCACGTACATCTGAGCGTGGGTAGTCACCTGTTGCGGAAAAGCCATTGTAGACGCTATCGACAGACTCTGTGAAATTGACGGGAACACCGAGGGCTCCCTGGACCCAGTGCTGGTTTAAGAAACCAAAGTAGTACGGAGGGGGGAAAGGATCGGGATCGAAATGGGAGATATCGTAGTAGCCTCGACCAGAGTACAGTGAATACGGGCCCTCTACTTGGTTGCTGCAGTATGTGTTCGCTTTTGCACAAACCTTGTTGACGGTCTCGTTGTTGCCGTACATCTTGGGGTCTCCCTCTGTGGCCAACCGACGACATTCAATGATTTGATCCTTGCAGCCCCCGGACTTGCTCCATGCATCCATCGCCATATCATATACAGTTTTGTTGATGGCCTCAATACCATAAGTATTGTTGTATGCTATCTGGGGGTAGGATGGTGACTGCACCAGGAGGTCGACGCAGCCATTGATAATTCCGAGGGTGTCCAGGTGAATATAGTGAGCATCGTCTATTTCAATGGACCCGTTGGCGATCTTCTCGTTCTGTTCTTGGAAGAAAGCCGTGAAAGATGGCCCGTACCGTCCTCCGTAGGACTCCGTCCAGATGCTTACTCGGTCATCGCGCGGTTTATACTCCGGGAACTCGGAGAACCAGGTCTGCGCAAATGACCACAAAGCGCGGGCGGCGTTTTCGGTGGTGTTGGCAGCGGTCGATGCGTTCTGGCTAGAGAAGGTGCCCACGTAAAACGTGTTATTCTGTTCCGGGACACCGTCCGGATAGCTGGTAATGTCCCACTTGCCCGTAAGCTGGTCATAGGTACCGTTCGTGGGGACATCATAACTGAAGCCGACTTGATTGGGCTGGTCAATGTAGAGCATATTCACGTAGTTGTTCCATGACCAGGGGTTAATTTCGGTGGTATTTGAGTCGTTGTTAACGCGGCATGGGCCATTCTCCTGCATCAGGCCGATCATCGAGGAGCTTCCTGGCCCACCATTCATCCAAATAGAAAGAGGGGCATTTCTAGGATCATTCCGAGATTCGAAGAACCAGAAGAAAGTGTTTATGGGGTAATCTTGGTCTAGTGACACATCGTTGAGAGTACCCGGGGGAAGATGCACGTAACCCGAATACGATTTGACGCCTGGGGTGGTTTCGCAAATACCAGGCTGACAAAAGTTCGGTTAGCGTCAAAACTGGGCAGCCACAGATGCGTCTATCACTTACTTCTTTGTACGAGATTTTCACACCTTCCTGATGCTTGGAATTGATGACCTTCAGGCCTTCGGGTGTTGGGGGAAAATACTGGCCGGCGACGGCACCGACCAGGCCGGCAGCATTAATCACTGACTTAAGGGACGGCATGGGACGTGGCGGTGGCCCAGATCTCAACCCTGGCGAAGGTTGGAGGGAATTGAAATAATGAGGACCAGGGTGGAAAATAGGCAGGTTTTATACCTGGATTCGACCGTCGGATGAACCTCAGAACTCCGCATCATAAATGAGGAGGCCTGTTTTATCACGGACCAGCCGGGTGACTTTGGTGGATGCAAAACCGACGATCAATGTAACAATATCGGAGGAGATATTGCGATAAGACCCGTCGATTGGGCGAGTTCCAGCAGACTCCACCTTTACCAGCACTAAAAGCCAGGGACTTTGTGCCTAAGATGCAAACGTAAAAGATAAGGCTCGCATTTTAGTGCCATCCTCAGGAATATCCTTTGTCTCTTCCAGGGACCCTGGGAGATAACAAAGAATCCTCACTTGATATTATGTATTGTTTCTTCCAAATTGTACATCCAACCTGTTGGAAATTAAACTTATTTCTAAGGTTATTACCGAAAATGGTCTAGCTCTCCCCGGATCATCCGTCGGAATGTCTAGAAGAATCCCCTCGACTCATTAAGTTTCTTCTTTCACCTTCACATACACAACCAGAAATAGTATCCAAGAGATACTCAACATGGGGGGCACTGCAAACATAATTGTTTCGAAGTATTGTACACATCGACCTTGGTTAATTCCTATTATGCCCGCCAAGCATCCTTGGAGCTCATTCATGGACAAGAGTGCTTACTGGGCTATTATTATACTTCCGGTAAGCAAGAGTCCTTTGCATGTGAGAAATAACGAACGACCAAGATACTTTTGAAACGACTTAATAAGATATTGACTTTTTGCATGGAATAGTAATCAGACACTAGCGTACACCCCAGACATTCGAAGCAAATAAATCATCTCATTATTCATAACACATGTGGACATCGCCTTATAACCGTTACAGAAATGAGCGTCATATACATTAATCATCACAGAAGTATAAAAGGGAATAGGTAGGTAGGGGAAAGGAAAAAATATCAAAATAGAACAGTGTCATGCGCCATAGAGCAAACACGTGCTCTCGAAAAGGATCTCACTCCTGAGTCGGGGCTGGGATATCACCTAGTGTCTTCACAAGGGCCTTGAGTCCGGGATTGGTCTCTCCTGCGGCTATTTCTAGCTCGCTCACTGTCTTCATAATGTCCCGACCCAACTGTCGGACCAGGTCATAAGTCGCCTGCAGGGCACCGCTCTTGTGGAGGAGCTCCAAAATCTGGATCTTGCTTTCGGCAGGTAATGAGGCTCCTTCGGCCTTCTGTCTGAAGATGCCCAGGATAATACTCTTGGCGGTAGGGTCCATGTTGCAGCACCTGACGACCGCATAAGAGATCTTGCCGTGGTCCAGATCTTCACCGAAGCCTCTTTGGTTGTTGCCCGTAAGCAGTCCCAGATACTCGTTGCGGATCTGGTACCACCGGCCGAATAATTTTGTGAGAAGCTCAAAGTCCAGCGACGAGCCTTCCATGCTGGCGGACTGCATGAGGCGCACCAACATCCGGAAGATAGATCCGCTCTTCTTATCGACCATCTCCAAGTATTCCTGCTCGGTCGGACATTGAAGCGAGAAGCGCCAGTTCAGCTCCCAAGACTGTCCGATAAAATGCGTTTCAAGCTCCTCCAGGAGGCCGTCAAGCATACCGGGGCAGTTGAGCCCGTTCACGGTCTTGGCGACACGGACGAACATGTAGGCAGCGCTGTTGATGGATTGAGCGGGACCGAAGACGAGGTGAGCCGCGGTCTTCTGGCGTTGGAGAGATGATTGGTCCTGAATGTTGGCCAGAATCTCAGAGCTGTCGTGGAGGTCATTGACCACTTGCTTGACAAAGGTGAGAGGTCGGTTAGGAACTTGAAGCCAGGCATTAAGTGCGGAAACCAGCTCCAATTGCACCTCATTAGCCGAGATAGACCCGATGTAATTTGTTGGTGCTAGTAAGGGTGTGGCGTCAAGGTGCACTGCCGGGTGTTCTTCTCCGTTGACCAGAGGCGTCCACACTGGTTCTTCTGCGGGCTCATCACCACCCTCTACATGGCTAGCAATGCCATTCACACGCACCTCCTCCTCCTCGTTTTCTCCTTCTCCTTCTTCTTCTTCTTCTTCCTCATCCTCGGACTCGTCCTCGTCGCTTGAGCTCTCCTCGTCCGATTCTTCATCGCTTTCCTCTTCGGCAGTTTCGGGAACCACGTACCGAGGTGCATTCGTGCACCAGTAATGGATTCCACCAAGGGAAGCTTCCAGGACCTCCATCCATTTTCGCAGCTTTGGGGCGAGGTCCGGATGGGCTTGATACAACGCCTCACGTCTCTTGATGAATTCCTTTTCATTTTCCAGAATGAGCTCTTTCGTCTTCACACGTGCGTCATCCTCCGACATGTTCTGGTGCTGCATGAGGAACAGTATCACGTTCGCAACGCGACGTTTCTTGACCTCGCGCTTTTCTTTCGGCCAGCTGTAGTAGTCATTGGTGAAGAACATGGTTCGCTCAGCTGCGTCCAGCGCATCTCTGACGATCGCCTGGTCCTCCTTTCCAAGCCGAGTTCCGTGGGCAAATCCCATTAGGGTCCAGTAAACACTGTTGTACCAGTCAGAGTCTGTTTCACCTTATGGAACACGGAGACATGTGATAAACTTACTCAATTCCTGCATTAAGACGCCGACGAGCCACGTAGTCGTCAAGATTGGCACAATTATCGGCAGTGGGGACATCCGGGGTGACGAGCCAGTTGCTCCGGTAGCAGTCGATGATCTCAAGCCCATCCTTGTCAGTTAGTTCTCCTGTCACTTTCTCCAGAAGCTTCTTCCTGGCTTCGGCTCGGGGCGATTCAACCAGCTCCTCCGGCTTGTCTGCTACAGGTGTGTTCTTGCTATCGGCATGGTCTGGATGAATGATTAGATATAGACACGCGTCTGGTAGCCAGGTCAACGTACCGTCATGGACGTTTCCGAGTTCAGTCAAATATGCGACCAGTTCCAACCTTTCGGGCATGCACTCTGGATATAGAAAGCTAGCGTAGTTTCCCACCGGAGACGTCAGATAGCTGCTTTTCGACTTGGCCTCATCGCTGTCGAGGGTGGCCGTCAAGTCTTCCAAGAAGCGATCGCTACCTCTTTGGGCCACATGATCGTATTTGTGTATCCGTGCAGTCAGAGTGGTGAAACAGTCATTCTGTTGCTGGGTAGCAGCGTCTATGGGCTGCGAGTGAGCCCAAACCTCAATCGGCTCATTTACTGTTGGTGCATCTGAGGCCGCTTCGGACTGGGCAACGGACAAGACGCGGGAGGTACTTTTGCTTCTTCTCCTCTTATGGGATATGAAGTTGGAGTATTGTCTGAACATTGGTTGATGTGTTATGAAAAAATGATAAACAAAGCAAGGAAAAAGGGATATGCAAGTAGATGTACAATGCCAAGCTGGCGACGACGTGCAAGTTCTTTAGGAAGACGAAGAAAGGAAGAAGAATTCCAGTTTCCTCTGGTATCCTACGACCGGCTCTTTATAGGCAACCAGTCGTCGCAATTGGCGTCGAGGATTGAGCAAAGGCCATGATGCATGTAACTGTAAAAATTTTTTTCGCCCATCAACACAGCATTGACCAAGTATTGGCCCATTAGGAAGCTAAACAGTCAGCTCGAGGACCTACTTGCCGCAAGTAAAGTATGATATTAGGTCTAATATGCAGGCTGCACGCTGATTGGGGGCTGCAGCGACTGTTTTGCTGGCGGATACTTTTTTCTCCATAGCTCATGTGGAGCCACGCAACGCTCACCGCTTCATCAGTTCGCAGCTGGTGGGTTTCGCCCAGCCGCCTCGTACAGTAGATGCGAGGCCGTTTGGTTGTTATTGTTTGGTTGTGGTTGTTGTTGTTGTTGTTGTTTTTGGCTCGCCTTCCTCGTCGCCTTACACCCGGATCCAGTGGTGATGGCTTTTCTTTGGGTTCGGGTGATGCTTCTCACTCATTTGCGAGGCGATCTTGGCTCTATACAATCCCGGATGAAGATCGTTCGCACTTTGCAACCTCACAACCATGACCCTGGGGCATATTGACCCTCACTCCCGAAGGCATCTACGAAAGATAGCCATCTCGCGCTAATCTCGGAGAGTTTGATCACGATACCGCATGTCATATGAGCAGTTGATATGGTAACAAACGGAATGAATGGGGCATGCTTTTTTAGTCACACTACAAGAATGTCCGAATGAAGCCTTAGCGTGGAAAAAGTGGGCCCCCTCGCTTCATCAGCAACGTTTTGTTCTCTTCATTTGTCCCAGAATGGTTAATTCCTACTACCCAGTCTCGAGGGCTTCCGGTGCTGAATCGCTAGGTTTCACACCTCTCTTCGATTCCTCGATCGCGATCCCGACGTCATAGGCCATTCCTTTCAACATTTTTTGGATCATTCTGACTACCCCGGTTTTCCAGTGTTTTTCCCGTCGACATTCCACCAAGAGCGATTGTATCAAAGGAGGAGGGGTGTGCAGCATGATGAGCCATCATGCTAACCACCAGGATCACAGTGCAGTACAGCAGTACATGATCGACATCCCCCTCCTGCGATAAGCCCATAACGGAAATCCAGCGAGGCTAATGCGCGCGTCAAAGTCAATTTTTCGCCCTCTGAACCGAGCGCTATGACGTAGCAGGTATAGTCGACAATATGAGAAGGAGTCCAAAGTCATCCCTCCTCTGATAATACCGTTCACATCCCAGTGTCCGTAGATTACTGCACTTGGGTACCCCGAGGGAGTGAGGCGTTGCGCGTCTAAATCCACCATCCTAACCTCATCATATGCGGCTACTGCGGCTCCGGGACTATACTACCTCGTCCCTTCATGAGGGGGCTACAGTAGACGACGATATGATATTTTCGATTCCTGCTATTCGGCCGAGTCGAGTAGCTTGAGTACTAACTATCACTAGCACATATATTCTCTGAGTTGTCCAAAAAATATCGAATTTTGAGAAATAAAAAGATACAATACAGTATTCGAACAAGATAAAGAAAGTGGCGGGGGAGGGGTCACTTTTTTCACTTTTTCTTAACACAACCTTTTATAGAACTGATAAGACTCCAACCTAAAAGAAAAAAAAAAAAAAAAGTCCAAATACCGATAATAGATACGTAGTCCAAACTCCAGAGTGGCATTAATGCGCGGACACTCCAACGGGTCCGCCGATCAACGAACGATCGGCATTCGGCTCTCGGATATAAAGTTTTCCTGGGATGAACTTTTCATGCCCTACAGACTACAGTACAGAATACGTACATACATCCTACATACAACAAGGCAGCTATGAAGAAAGGCTAATCCTTCAATCCCTAGCATGAATATCGAACCCTTTTTTTTTTCGGTTTTTTCTTTCGGCGGCAACAGCCGTACACCCACATAACATTACATAAAGTACGTTGCGCAATCAGAGACTGGTTGGCGCTCATTTGTATGACGTGGGTTAGTACATAGTAAGTAGTAGGAGGAGCCAAGGTTGTTGGGTGGCGGTTTTTGTGTAACCTATCCTTAGGTAGTAAAACCTCCTTTTTTTGTTGTTATTAGGTTTGTTTTTATTTATTTTTATTCTTTTTTCGGGGGATCTTCGCAAAGTAGGTTATGTGAGTTTGTGTGGCTGGGAGCTTCTCCCTTACTTTTGATACTTTGGGATTTTCGAGGGTTGGTACTGTACCAAAGCTTGTCTGTTATTGGCGGTTAAACACGGGTTTAGGATCCCATGTGGTTGCCATGCTTGAGGTTTATATACTTTTTCTTGGTATGCGTATACGATATATAGTTGTACTACGTAGTCCACTGTGTATGCTATGCAGCCCTATACTAGATTTATCATGGATGCATATTCTGTCCATTCACAAGAACTAATTCATTCTCAATGAAGACTCATAATATTCCCGTGACAATGATATATTTCCTCAATTTATCTTTTGCACACCACACCACACCCCTTCGGACAGCGGGGATATAGTTCGACATGTAGACGAAGAAATCGAAAGAGCTAAGATTGGGCATGTTGAAGTACCTTAAACGATAAAGAAACAATAAACCAGTAACTACCATGCAAAACAACGTGCATGCCAATTTCCATGTTGAAGGAACAAAGCACAGCACACTTCCCTGAGAACAACTTTCTGACCTGGCAACAACAAAACAATTCCTCAGAATCATGTTACGCAACCACTCACAGAGTACCAGTCGATGAGACCCAGAGACCAGTCTGCCAGGAACAGCAGTAAGTAGCACCTTCCCATCAACGCTGTATCTATCCCACTTGGACTGATCTCGCGCACGTCGTGTCTTCAGACGCCCTACTGGCTGCCAAGGCACTCTGTGCGCCCTTGTCCTAGGTTGTAAACGCAACTAGAGGGTGCTTACACGGCCATACAATGGTGATGTCCAGATCCATACTATAATCATCAGTTAGTGTGGAAGGGGTCATCGCTACTGGATGATCGCGCAAGTGGTCCCCTAGCTGCAGAGATAACCCACGACAAGGATGCAGAAAGTGCCCTGGCGGTGAGTAATTCGTACACCTGAAGTCACATTAATCTGCATGGCGTGTTCCCCATGCTCTCATAATTAAAAAAGGGGGCGGGGTTATTGAAGAACATTACCACTCATTATAGACTAAAGGGCTCTATGCAGGCCAGGAGAGACCCAATACCGCCACAACGGATCGCACAGCTTGGATATTCTCCCCACTGTCGATGTAGACGGCGCCCAAGATGGCCTCAACGGTTGTAGCCATGATTTTGCCGGAGACGATGCCGTCCTGCGAGGGGTTGACGTAGATGTAGCGATCGAGGCCCTTTTGTAAGCCAGTTCTTGCTAGGAAGGCGTTACTGGCTTTTCCGCTGTGGGTGTCGTTGATTTGTTCTGGTGAATTGGTGAGTGTGTTTGTAGTCGTAAGATGTGGGCTAATTAGTAACTTACCTCTTGTTGCATGGGCTTGGTATCCGTCTTTGGTAAGGACTAGGCATAAGGCTGCGTCACCCAGCTGGGCGAGGTCTTTGTGTCCGTCTAGCCGATGGGGGGTGAGGATTGCTATGGAGCCTGGAGTGCGGAGGGCTTCATGGACGATTGCGGGGTTGGTGAAGGTGTAGTCGATCATTTTCTCGATGAGTTGGGATCTGGTGTCGGTTGGGATAAGAAGTCTGGTCATGGTGACGTTTGTTTGGTGGTGAGTGATGGCTAGGACATAAGGTGAATGTTGCAGATGGAATGCTGGAGAGGGGCTCAATGTTGGGCTCTTTTATACTTACCCCTCATGTGGGTTGAATCATGTGACGGCATCCTCAGTCTTTTGGTCACCATTGAACTATGTTCTGGCTGATGTGAAGAACAATCCGATGAAAAGTATCATGTTGTCAATCTATGAGCTTTCACCTTACTATGTGAGATTGCGGAAGAGATTGTAGACATTCAACAAACAAGTATCTTCATTAAAGAGAATACTTCGACTCGGGACGCCTTCATGGGAAAATAACAAAAGGGGATATAAAAGAAACATCCAAAACGATATAACCAAAAAATTCCATATCCATGTTGCCCTTAGCCAAGGGATACTTCCAACACCCCAATCATCATTCGAGAAATATAAACAACCCATGACGCCCAAGTGTTCCATTCCGCATGTCCAAGATAAACACAAAAAGCACGCTAAAAAAAACAGCAGATGAGCAAGCAAAATTTTAGTGACCGTATAGGTAGGTGCGAGTTATACATGATAAGATGAGAGGGTACGGAAGTCACGAAGGAAAAGAAAAGAAGGCACAAGGAGTGGCTCGGGGCCTTCAGGGAGCCTAGTGCCGAATAAATAGAGTAGGACATTCGCGATGCTGCCATATACAGTGAGACGATCATCCAGGTAGAGGTATGTCAGGTAGTATGTACAGCAGACCGAAGGGAGCAATGAGGGAGGAGTGTTTAGGCAAGCGAGGAGTGCATTGTAGGTTTGTAGTCATGTTCGGTGATGGTTGTGGAGTGTTCTAGTTCGGTTGCGGTTGGTTTTGCGACGTCTGATGGGTGACGATGTTGAAGTCTAAAAAGGGTGTTGTCGGTTATATCATCGAAAGTGTGGTAAGTGTCTTCGGTCTTCGAGGGACTAGTGCCGGTAACCGAGGCATCTTTGGCACTGAAGTCCCCATCCGACGCCGAGTCGGACGTTCCGACAGTCGAGATGGAATGAAATTCATCCTTATCAATATTGCCATTATGTAAGTGAGAAGCTTCAGCAGAGGAAACACTAGACGCGTCATTCTTCACATCCAAAGGCAGCTCTGCGAAGCTACTCAGCTCCGCCATTCCCAGGCTCGATACCACAGACCGCTTGCTAGGGGATGGAGGACCAACAGTAGGTGAGACTGGAGTTGACATTGAGCCATAACCCCGATAGGGATTTCGCGGCGGCAGTGCAGGAGGAACCCTCTTGGGAATTGTCACTAGTCGTGCACGAGTGAAAGTAGGTGACTGACGCTTCGGGCTTATTGAGGTCAAATCTTCAACAGGAGAACTTGGGAAACTGTCACATTTCGTGACGGTGGCGCTGCTAACCTCGTGGATTTCGACGTCATCGTCCACTAAGTCATCGTCGCCGTCATGCGTGGCATTGTGAGAGTGATCCACTGGGTGCTCTGGGATAATAGTTTCCCATCCACGCTCTTCATGATCCCACGAACTTTTCTCTGTGCGTTCTGCAAAATCTCGATTACTTCGGGAAGAGGCACGGCTGATAGAAGTACGGGCCGTCAGAGGGGGTTCGTCGGTTTGAGTGCCTCTGTCGATGCTGGCGTAGCTCTGTACACTAGTCCGCCAACTGTTGCGCGGTGAACTATCAACGCTGTGCCGGAAGGTCGAATAGATAGGACTGGTAGGGCTGGGTCGGAATTCAAAACTATTCACGTGTGGACGAGTTTTGGTGCCTGCTTCGCGAATGAAGAGGCCCTCAGCCTCCAAAGCTTTAACGCCGAAAGGATCGGGGTCATCCGGAGCCGGAATTCCAAACTTCATGGGAGGAGAAGAACTACCAGAGGCCGGTAGAACTTCTACATCCCCAGGAGTTGGTTCTCCCGCGGCAGACACCAGACTTTCATCGACATCCTTATCGCCCTGGGCCGCCTTGACGGTCTGGATGAGGGTTTTTATCGACGTCGGAGGACGTTTCGCTTTCCCGGCCAAGATATCCGTCACTGAGATGCGCTCGCCATAAAAGCGCTCGTTCTCGTCGGTACGCTCAATGATTATCGTTCCATCTACCTGGACGCCTGCATACAGACCTCGACTTTTCATGTAGGTCCATATGGGAGCTTGGCGCTTGTGAACCTCGGAGTCGAGAACGCCTCCCATACCCACTGGGCCCGCGGATGCACTAACTTCTCCGCCCAATGTACAACGAACCTTCTTGAATGCCTCTAGCGCCTCATAGGTATTGATCACAACCACACAGTCATAGATATCAACGCCCGCCAAAAAGCCAATGCCCGCGGTATGAAGCATTATACCCGAGGGAGGACTCCACTCACCGGTCTCGGGGATTTTGGCCAAGAGGACACCACTTCCGCCCGAGCCGCTGAGCCAAAGACCTGTACGCATCGTGGTAAAGATGGCGAGACCTTTGGCGCGCTTGATAACTTCCGTGGGGATCTTTTTCAGAACTCGTTGCTTGCCCTTGGGGCGATCTATCTTGCCACTCTTCACAGCATCTGTGCTTTGTTTTTCGGTCTCTTCATCGGCGTAAAAACCATCTTTGCAAAAACTTCGTAGAATGCGAGCTGCCTTGTCGCTTTCTCTGTCCAGGGTCATCGGCCAGAAGGCTTCGGCGCCAACCCGATTGGACAAGCGGTTTACAGGATCACCCAATTTGTCGAGAGTATGCCATGCCTTATCAAAGCCCTTTTTGGAGGTCCCTTTAGTCTTTTCCCAGAATGAGGGCGCCATTGTGACGATTTGGATTTCGCCTACCGTCTATGGGCCATACATAAAGAAAGAGGGAAAGTGAGGTGGACAGGGTTGAGTTTTGAAAAGAACAGTACGCAAAGGAAATACCTCTACAACTCGAATGCGGATACCTCAGGAGAACTCAATGTGTCGAATGCAGCTTAACATGTAATGCGATTGGCTGCCCTTGATTTCCTAAAGCGACGTGAAAAATGTAGGTATGATGGAACAGCAGACGGGAACAGTGCGTTGCTGACACAACCGCGGAATGCGTGGTCGAAAGGCTCCAGAATGTCGCTGGACAGGAAACGGGACGTTGAATATATGTCAGAGAAATCTGCACAGTTGAAGGTTTTTTTCAGACGAGAACTACATTGTGCAGCAGCAGAGGATAAAAAGTCAGTTTTGGATGTTCTTGCTCCGTTCGATCCGTGTTCCAGACCCGCCGGTCGATGAGGTGGGTGGCGATGAGTCGTACGCATGAAAGGGAGAGGGAACCATGGAACTTGCACACCAAGGGACCATGGAAGAAGGGTCCAGCTTACCTCGGACGAACTCGTGAACAATACTGAGTAATCCAGGGCAACTTCACGTCAATCAATCAATAATCGATAGACTCCGACAGGCACCAAGGTTTTTGATCATCAATTCCCCCAAGGGATATGTTGGAAGTATAACCGATATAGTAATTGAGCAAGGAATGGAGTATGCGGAAGGGGACCAAGGGACATATATTTATTATTCTAGTTTCACGAAACACCCTAGGAAGTCCAAAAAGACTCGGGGAAAGGATATCAAAGTGGCGGTAGTAGTAGTAGTAGTATAGATGGTTGGTAGATGGGGGTAGTCGTGATGATATAATTATATGAAAAGATATAGAAGAAAAATATTAAAAAAAAAAAAAAAAAAAAAAGAAAAAGAAAAAAAAAAAAAAAAAAAAAAAAAAAGAAAAGAGGGAAGTGGAGAAAAGGGAAAATCAGAAATGGACGGGTATTAAATAAAGTAATCCAAATAGTAACTATGAATCTGTGCCCAAGACCAGCAATACAATACTGGATCGAAGAAGCATCGTTCAAGGAGGAGTCAATGCGAGTGGCGCCGTGGCTTAGAGCTGAGCAAGAATAATCGGGTGGATGGGGAGGGACGGGATATAAATTGAATAGTATAGAAGTAGTTCGGCTGCTCCGGATAGGTACTTAGGAACCATCCAGAATCGTGCGTGGTAATAGAATACTAGTACTATCCAGAAGAAAAATAGAAAAGTAAAAAAAAAAAAGGAAATAAAAGAAACAGAAGCATCGGATATATGGCAACGACAAGGGAAAAAAAAGAAAGTACTCGGAGTAGTGCTGAGGAGAAAAGAGGAGAATGTCATCATAGGCGTAGCTCCGCCATCGTCATCGGTTGATAAGCAGGAGATCGATTGATGGATTAGTTGCAGCGGCTCCATTCAAGAGTGGAGTCGTGCCTCATCATCTTTTCTCTCTCTCTCTCTTTTTTTTTTTTTTTTTTCTTCTTTTACCCTTTCATCTTTACACCAAAAAATTTAAGTTAGATTGACTAGGCATCGTTTCTTTTTTATTTAATAATAATAATATTATTTTCCCCCACCCCTTTTCCACTTCTTTTGCGACCTACCTTTGAACTTGCCTAAGAGAGATTTGATTCGATAGATTGACTCGATCCTTCGATAGCCCTATAATCTTCCCTTGGCCAATGGTCTAGCCGTCCTGTCAATGCTTTTGTTCATAGATCGAATCCATGGTTCTTCTGGGAAATTTCTTCTCTATTCTCACTATTCTCTGTGCAGTGTATGCAGGTGTAGTACGTACTCTATCCTCCGTAAGTGTGGCTTTAATTTCCCTCTGTAACACAGGCAGCTCCATTTTCATCAATGGAACCAAAGATGGTCTGCCAATTCCCGTTCCCAATTAATAACTATATTCGGTTCGTATGTACCCAAGGCACCCATCCGTGCCCTTCCGTGCCAGGATTCCTGCCTAACAACGTAGAATTTGACTTGATTATCGCAACCGGCGTCAGAAGAATCCCTTCAAACAAATTGATATCCGGGTAGTTACCTCAGAAACCCAAGGGGGGAGAAAGGGAAAGCAGAGAGAAAAAGTAGCTGATCTCTCAACCGATACATATGACAGCTCCAATTCTTCTCCCCCATCCCTTTCAGCCCCCAGCCACACCATGATATTTTAGATTTGGGCTCCTGTCTTCTCCCTTTCGGCCCGCTTGTCAATTCCCCGGGCCCATGAAACCCTAGCCA